AAGATCAAAATATTTGGAGAAATATGCTGTTTTCATGGGTTGAAAATACAACATTGATAAGAAGTTAAGTCTCCAAATTTTGATCTATATATTTGATGTAAACCTAATCAAAATGTTAGGAGGATTTTGTAGAAATTGACAAACTAATTAAAAAACTCACATGGAAACTGGTCAGAATTCAAAGCCAAAACAGTACTGAGGGAGAAGAATAAAGCTTGAGAACTAACACGATCAGATTTTTAGACTTAAAATAATGCTACAAAAATCAAGATAAATCTGAGGATAAGAAGAGCTCCTGCCTCACAGAGTTGTTGGGAAGATTAAAAGAGTTCATGTATGTAAAGCACCTTGAAAAGCATTTGGTATACAAATAAGCCTTCAAACCTTACATTTCAGGGCTAAGAGTCTTGTGCTGTGGAATTATGTGTTCTGAAAGTAGTATCAGTGCTGGTGTAGCCATAAAACAGAATATGATGTCTCCATTTTAAATGATGAAATTGAAAATCCTTTAAGGACAGAAGTATGTTTGTGATAAAATGTATAAGGGGAAAAAGCAGGAGATAAAATGGTAGTTACTATTTGGAGGTAGTTTGACCTGAACCATATCCCCCCAAAAGTTGTAGCAATAAAGACTGGGAGAGACTGCTATGTCAACACTGGTTGCTTCTGGGAGGTGGGACCCTGAGTGATATTTTTTCTGCTTCTTAACCGTTTTTTGGTAATTTTCAAATGTCTACATTACCGTGTAACACTTAAAAACCAACACACAATCAAGCACTAAGTGTTGTTGTTGTTAGGTGTCATAGAGTCGGTACTGACTCACAGCGACCCTATGAAGTAAGTGTATGAGAGTGAAATGTAAAAAGAAGATACCAATTATTCCACAGTAAGCTGAGTGGAAGAGAGTCAGCTAACATTGGCAGAGCTGAGGAGATGGGACCTTTTCCAGTGGACGACTCCCTGGTCTGCTGCCGCTGACCAAGAGATCCAGCACCCTTGACAGAGACTGCACAAGACACACACAACTCCATTGAGAAAAGGGGCAGGGACTTTAATGTTTCTGAAAGAACCTGGGAGAACCTGAGAAGGAGTTAGTTGCCTTTTCTGTACCTAACCATTGCCTAGTTTGGCAGGAGCTGTGCTGCTCTAGCTATATTGTTGCTCATCTGCTATGTTCACGGAAATCTTGTTTCAGAAACTTGCTTGGACAAGTTAGTTGGGTAGTTTGACATTAAAAATGTAAAATTAAAAAAAAATAAATCGAGGTAGTGTAGTACTGGTGTTAAGGCACACACACATGCTATATATACATATAAGTGATTTTTGGTAGACATACCAAGGTAATTCAGCGAAGAAAGAACAATCTTCAACAAATGCTGCTGAAACATGAACTTTGACCCATACATTGTGCCATATAAAAACATTAGTTGAAAATAGATAATTGATATCAATGTAAAACCTAAAATGTAAGCATTTTTACCTCTAGGTCTATGTCTATAAAACTTTGGAGAAAAGTTTTGGGATCTTGGGCTAGGAAAAGATTTCCTTGTTGTAATTCTGAAAATAATGATTCATAAAAGAACCAATGATAATATGAACTTCATCAAAAGAAAAATATAGCTTCTCTTTCATAGATACTCCTAAAAGGATAAGAAGTACCCCAAATTGGAAGAAAAAAGTATTTGCAAATTCTGTATCTGATGATAAATTTGTACTTAAAGTACATAAAGAACTTTCAGAACTCTGTAATAAAAAACAAACACCATTACCACTCCTCCCACCCTATCAAACTGGACAGAAGATTTGAAGAGACACTCACTGAAAAAAATATGGCAAATAAACATGTGGAAAAAAAAGTTTCACACTGTAAGACACTGTTGTTAGGTGCCATTGAGTTGGTTCTTACTCATAGTGACCCTATGCACAACAGAACAGCCATCTTCAAAATTGTTAGTTTGAGAGCAATTCTGCTGCCACTATATCAAGTCATCTCATTGGAGGTCTTCCCCTTTTTTGCTGACCCTCCACTTTATCAAGCATGATGTCTTTGCCCAGGGACTGTTCCCACCTGATATGTCCCATGTATGAGAGATGAAGTCTTGCCATCCTGACTTCCAAGGAGGATTCTGTGTAAGTACCGCATGCTAACCAAATGCGCCACTGGAGCTCCTCAAGGAGGATTCTGGCCGTATTCTTTCTTCCAACACAGATTTATTTGTTCTTCTTTCTGGCAGTCATGGGACTTTTAAAGTTCTGGGATTTATTGGGTTTTTAATATTCTTCTTTGTTGTTAAGTGCCATCGAGTCAGTTCCAACCCACAGCGACCCTGCATAGGGTTTCCTAGGAGCGGCTGGCGAGCTTGAATCACCCACTTTGCAGTTCAAACTGACTTTGCAGTCTACCACATTAGCTCATAGTGCCACACCAGGATTCTTCGACAATACCATGATTCCAATTTGTCTAAGGTCTTCCATATTCATTGTCCAACTTTCACATGCATATGAGGCAACTGAAAATACCATGGTATGGTTCAGGTGCACCTTAGTCCTCAAACTGATCTCTTTGCTCTTTAACACTTCCAAGATGTCTTTTGCAGCAGATTTGCCTAATGAAACACATCTTTTGATTTCTTGGCTGCTGCTCCCATGAGTGTTGATGGTAGATCCAAACAAACTGAAGCCTTTGAGAACTTCAATCTTTTCTCCATTTATCATGATATTATTTACTGGTCCAGTTGTGAGGACTTTCGTTTTCTTTACATTCAGGTGCAATCCTTACTGAAGGCTGTAGCCTTTGATCTTCACCAGTAAGTATTTCAAGCCCTCTTCACTTTAGCAAGCAAGGCTGTTAATGAGACATTGTTGTTTTTAAATGACATCAAGCCAGTTTTGACTGCTAGCAACCCTGTACAGGGTTTCCAAGGAGTGACTGGTAGGTTTGAACTGCTCACCTCATGGTCAGCAGTCCAGTGCTTATCCCACAGCACCACACCAGGACTCCAATAAGACATTGCTGCTGTTGTTGTTAAGAGCCACTCAGTCAGTTCCAAATCATCGTGATCCTGTACAGGGTTTCTGAGGAGCCCAGTGGGTTTGAACTACTACGACCTTGCTGTTCAAATCGATCTTGCTGTCCAGTGCTTATCCTACAGTGTAACACCAGGACTCCAATGAGACATTGTTGTTGGTGGTGTTAAGTGCCGTTGAGTCAATTCCGACCCATAGCGACCCTGTATAGGGTCATTTAGCGCAGATTGACCATCAACACTCATAGAAGCAACAGTGAGGAAACCAAACAACGTATTTCATTAGGCAAATCTGCTGTACAAGAACAAAGATGTCAGTTTGGGGACTAAGGTGCACTTGACCCTAGCCATAGCATTTTCAGTAGTCTCATATGCATGTTTTCACAGGAATAAAGGCAGTAAATAAGGAAGACCATAGAAGAATTGTTGCATTTGAGCTATGGTGTTGGAGGAGAATATTAAAAGGACCATGGACTTCCAGAAGAATAAACAAAACTCAGTTTTGTTTGTTTTGAAGTACAGTTTGAATGCTCCTTAGAAGCCAAGATGGCCAGATATTGTCTCTCATACTTTGGAAATATTACCAAGTGGGACCAGTCCCTGGAGAAGAATATCATGCTAGGCAAAGTGGATGATCAGCAAAAATGAGGAAGACCCCCAAAGAGATGGATCAACACAGTGGCAGCAGCAATGAGCTCAAGTGTAGCAATGATTGTGGGATTGGTGTAGGACCAGGCAGTGTTTTGTTCTGTTTTGTTGTGTCGCTATGAGTCGATACTGACTTGACAGCACCTAACAATAACAGCACAGCTGTACCACGGAAAACCATTCCGTAATAACAAAGAATGAACTACTGATGTGTATAACACATGGATGACTCTCAAATTATGGGGAGTAAAAGAAGTCACACACAAAAAGGTATACCTACTGTATGATGACATTCATAAACAAGTGTGGAAAATGTTCAGTAACAGAAAACAAATCAATGGCTTCCTGTAGAAGGGAAGGAAATGTTAAGATTGGATGGGAGAGAGGGATTACCAAAGGGTATGAGGAAACTCAGACTCTCTGCCATCAAGTCGATTCCTACTCATAGTGACCCTGAAGATTGGTAAAAATTCAGCATTGTTGAGTAACATGTGCTTAAAAACAGCCATCATTTCACAGAATGAAACTTCCAAATGAGTGATATATTGGGTCTAGGCAGGGCCTATAGTCAAAGGAGCTCTGGTAGTGTAGTGGTTACAAATCGGGCTGCGAACTTCAAGGTCAGCAGTTCGAAACTACCAGCTGTTCCGCAGGAGAAAGATGAGGCTTTCTGCTCCAGTAAAGATTTACAGCCTCGGAAACCCTGTAGGGTGGCTATGAGTCAGAACTGACTTCATGGCACATAACCACCACCAACCAGAGTCAAAGGAGCTGATAGTCGGACTTTGCAGTTCCTATCAGGGAACCAGTTAAACTGTGGAAATGTGATTATGATGGCATCTAGTATGTCAGAGACATGCAGGTGATCCTGCTGCCACATAACTTCTAGGGTTGACTGTATCTATTGATCGCTGCTCCATACACTTTCTTCTTGGTGTAGGAAATGGCCTTCTACATGGCAAAGAATTGGGCTGTGGAGACAGATGTGCTTCTCTGTAGCCAGTGTACTTCCCTCCTCCTGTATCATGCTGTAGTCCTTCTGGGCATCATCCTGCTCCCACTCATCACAATGGTGCCCGAGCAGTACCAGGACACAGGGTGCCCATGAAGTAGAGCCCATGTTCCAAGCCTTATCTCCCAGTAGCATTGAGACACAACCTTACAGGTCTGGAAATTTCTGAAGCCACAAGACTCCAAGTTTAGAAGAGAAGGAACTTGAGATGTAAAAGGGGCCAGACCAGTAATCTGGCAGTCTTCTCTAGCTTTGAATAAATAATGGAGCTGCATTATCTATACTCAAACAGTGTGCACATGCTGTCTACTCACCACTCTCTTGTCTGGGACCCTCTGGGTAAACACCTTGTAAAGTCTCCAGCTCTTCCCCAGAATGGGGCCAAACACCAGGGAGGTCCCAATGCACAGCAAAGACAGTCTTACCTATAAGTGGAATTAGACAGAAGCAAGAGTTATGTGAAGAATATTTGTTGGCTCTCCATGCTTTCTGACCAGCAATGTCTCAGCCCCAGGAAGGGCACAGGGTAAGGGGCTTATCTAAGCATTACAAAGAGTTTCTCTGAATGTTACCAAAGATAAAGATAACCATCACCCACAGGAGCAACTGAGTGAAAAAACTGTCAAAACTTTAACATTATAAAAGGATATCCAAGACAAAATTTTAAAACTTTACTTACCTGAATGACAGTTTCTATGGAGCTGCCCACTAACACATCTTGATTTTGAATCCCAAAGAGGTAAGCGCTACTGTAAGTCAGACAGCTGCCCAGTAAGGTCACAATGTTCAGATTTGGACTGGACATCTTCACAATTCTAGAGGGAATCAGGAAGATGGACACAGATAGACATGGCAGAACTTGTCTACCCCCGCCCAAAAAAAGTCTCCACTGCAACTCAGAGAAGAATCGCTGGGAAGAAACCACTTTACAGTCTTGGGTTAAAAACTTGTTATGATCTCTTTCTTTAAATTTACTTTTGAAAATAACTAAATTTTGGCACTTTTTGCTTATGTAACTCCAAGTCTGTTAAAAGAAGCATGACTTTTCAAAAACAGGTGGTTTATAAGAAGATTTAGGCTTTTATTCATGAGGTCTACAGTTGCTAAGGGATAGCTATATGTGGCTTAGTGACTAAACAACTAGCAAGTAGACACTTAGAGACAGAAGTGAACTGTAACATAAGCTACTATTTGGAAAAAGGTTTGGGATTTTTTTCATACACTTCATCAACTTTTCTCTCTCTCTTTATTTAACTCTCCTTCAGTTGATAATGAGAATTATTTTTCTCCTTCTACTTAACCAAAAGAAAAGAGGAAGCACGAATTGAAAGCAGGACGTTTGTGGGAAACATCTTTTCTCAAGTAGTTTCAAATGAGGTTAGAGATCAGCTAAAAGATCAGAAGGAGGCTTAGACAATCAAGGTCTCAGAGAACACCTGGGCATCAGTAGATATTCTGGGTACGGTAGGAACATGTGAATTGGTTAACCACGGTGGGGGGAACCAGGCTTACATTGAACAGTGACTGATAACAATAAGAAAAAGTAATAAGTAATATAATTATATTTAAGAGTTATAGTCTAAATATTACATCCCATGCAAATGTAATATTTATACTAATGTTGTTATTAATTGCTGTAGAGCCAGTTCTGACTCATAGTGACCCTGTGTAGATTTCCAAGGAGCAGCAGGTGGGTTTGAATTGCTGGCTTTGTGGTTTGGAAGTCTAGTGCTGATACAACGGCACCATACCAGGGGCCCATATTTATACTAATAGCTATTGATAACAGGGTTACTATGAGTAGGAATCAACTTGATGGCAGTAGGTTTGATTTGGTTTATCACTATAACTTATAACTAATAGCTATTGGTAATTATACTTAGTTACAAACCAAATCAAATCCACTGCCATTGAGTTGATTACTACTTATAGTAACCCTATGCAGAGTTTCTGAGGGTGCAAATTTTTACAGGAGCAGAAAGTTTCCTCTTTCTCCCATGGAGTGGCTGGTGGATCCAAACTGCTCATCTTGTGGTTAGCAGTCTAGTGCACAACTCAGTAAGCCATCAGGGCTCCTTATACTTAGCTATATTTTATTTTAAATAACAATTGAGGAGGAACACATTCCTATCTATATCTCTTACCACACCTGCCTGTTTGTTTATTTAAAGGTCAGAGCAAAGACCAAACCATCTACTTAGCGCAGCCTATTTGCGTAGCAATGGACTGAGGAAGCATTGCATAAACAAACAGCTTTGGCAGGGCTGGATTTGCAAAGGGCATAACTACCATGGGCCAGACTTGTTTACTTTGTGGCTGGCATTACAATGACCTCCACAGGCAGGAACACCAGGATTCAGGTCCCAAGTATGGCCAACACAGAGCTCTACCTTGTCTTGGTGCAAAAACACTGATTTCTTTTTTTCTTCCTCTAAAAGTGAAAGCAACTATTATGCACTCCTCTGTAAAATGGGGATAATAATAGTACCCCCTCAAAGGGTTGTTCTGAGGGTTAAATGAGGAAATAAACTGTTTAGCCATTCTGAAACTGAGTAGGCATTTGCCACCATTAGCTCCTGATGTTACTATCGTCCCCATCTTCTAGACGTTTCCTTTGCCCCCTTATCACCTATATCCAATCAACTGACAAGTTCTTTCAATTTGTATTATGTCTCCCATGTCCAAATTTAAGATCTGGCTCTATTCTATCTAATCACTTTTCATTCAGGTTTGTCTCCTCAGTCTCCACATCTTCAAAATGTGTACTTATGAACAGTTGTTGTTGTTGTTAAGTGCTTACAAGTCAGTTCCAATTCACAGCAACCCTGTATAGGGTTTCTGAGGAGTGGCTGGTGGGTTTGAACCACTGACTTGCAGTTCAAACTATCCTTGCAGTCCAGTGCATTATCCTGCAGCACCACACCAGGACTCCTTTTGAACGGCAATTTTCCTTAATTTCTATCTTTCTCTTCATAAGCAGAGGGAAGCGAAGGGGTTTAAAAAAGTTAATGGGTAAATGGAATGAAAAGAGAATGGAAATTTTCATTAATGTTTTGAAGCTTCCTCATACATGGCAAAAATTAACTACAAGAATAAGAACAATGTCAACCAGTGGCTCCACAAAGCATCTTTTTTTCTTTTTAAAAGAAAAATTATACCTTAATAAATGTTGAATTAGAAAATGTTGCATCACATGAGAAGTCTTTAAAAAGTTCATGAAAATGTGTATTATGAAAAATGATACAAGGGTTTAAAAAATGCTTTGCACTAAAATAAACTTCTAGAGCTATGGGCTAATGTGCTGGACTGCAAAGTCAGTTTGAACCACAAGGTTGGCGGTTCAAGCTCACCAGCTGCTCCTCAGAAACCCCACATAGGGTCACTATGGGTCGGAACAGATTTGACAGCAGTTAATATAAACAACAACAACTTGAAACACTTAACTGATGAAGATAGAAGATTATAGCCTTTAATACGGAATGCATGTCAATGTAAAGAAAACAAAAATCTTTACAACAGACCAATAAATAATATTAGGATAAATAGAGAAAAGACTGAAGCTGTCAAAGATTTCATTTTGCTTGGATCCACTATCTACATTTGTGGAAAAAGCAGTAAAGAAATCAAACAACTTATTACATTAGACATCTGCTGCACACTTTAAAGTTTTCATGAACAAAGATGTCAATTTGAGGATTATGGTGCACCTGACCCACGCCATGGTATTTTCAATGATCTCCTATGCATTTGAAAGTTGGACAATATATAAAGACTGTAGAAGAACTAATGCATTTGAATTATGGTGTTGGCAATGAATATTGAAAGTACCAGAAACTATCAGAAGAACAAAGAAATCTGTGTTGGAAATACAGTCAGAATGTTCCTTAGAAGGAAGGACGGAGAGATTCTGTCTCTCATACTTTGGACATGTTATCAGAAGGGACAACTCTCTGGAGATGGACATCATGTTTGAAAAACTGAAGGGTCAGTGAAAAAGAAGAAGACCCCCAAAAGACAGACTGACATAGTGGCAGCAGCAACTATGGGCTCAAACATAACAATTGTCAGGACGGCGCAGGATTGGGTTGTGTTTCATTTTGTTGTCTGTAGGGTTGTTATGAGTTGAAACTGACTCAACAGTACCTAACAACAATTTGTTATAATATCTCTGAATAGGATGCAGATTGAGGCACTCAGGATAAGACATTTGAAAAGAGTCCCTATCACAGCAACATGAATTTTGTTAAAATTGAAGCAAGAGCAAAGATAAGATGGTGACTCATGGGTAGAAAAATGGTGATATCATTGATGCTTTGTGAAAAATTGATAAAGGACAAAGCCTCAAAGAAATCAACAGTTTAAAAACGGATAGCTCATTTTTCGAAGGATCAGGACAATGCTGAAGATGAAGCCCACAGCAGCAGACCATCCACATTTATTTGTGAGGGAAAAAATTAATCCTGCTTGTGCCCTAATGTTGAGCAAACTTTCTGCTTAGTGTATGCCAAAACTGTTGCACCCAGATCGGCTGCAGACAAGAGCAGAGCTTTCAATGGAAACTTTAAACAAGTGGGGTCAAGATTCTGAAGTATTTTATGGAAGAATTGTAACAGAAGATGAAACATGGCTTTACCAGGATGATCCTGAAGACATAAAGCAATAGCTACCAAGAGGTGGAAGTAGTCTAGCAAAGCACAAGCAGATCAATGAAAAAATGAAAAATGCAAATCAATCAAGAGCAGAGGTCATGGTGACAGTTTTTTGGGATGCTTAAGGTATTTGCTTGTTGACTTTCTGGAGAATCAAATAATAGCACCTGCTTATTTGAGAGAGTGTTTGAAAGTGAGTCAAAGCTTTAGGAGAAAAACATCAGAAAGATCTTCTCCATCATAATAATAATTCCTGCTGATTACTCTCATCAAACAAGGGCAATTTCAGGGTTTCTATGGGAAATCATTTGGCATCCACCTTACAGTTCTGATTTGGCTCTTTCTGACTTTTTGTTTCCTAATCTTAAAAAAAAAATCTTTAAAGGGCACCCCGTTTTCTTCAGTTACTACTGTAAAAAAAAGACCACACTGACATGGTTAAAATCTTAGGACCTTCAGTTCTTCCGGATGAACTAAATGGTTGAACTTGAGGAAAGAGGGCACTGCTGACCTGCTACCTGGCTGTTCAGTGCAGTCAGAAGCTGGGGTAAGGATATAACCACTGTCATTTTGAGTAGACTCCTGCGAGCCCAATATCTGAGGCCAGTGTATCCCATGACCGCTCATGAATTCTTTGGTATCAGTCATGGCTATCTGACAGTGAGCTCCTCACTGAGCAAGTGCCCAGCTTCACAGTCATACATCTGTGCCATCTAGACTGCTTTCCTTCTCAATTCTTCTTTGGGCTGGTTTTAATCAAACACTCCTTTGTACGTAAGTCTCCTTTGAATAATGCAGTACTGCTTGGAATCCTAATTTAGATTTCCTCACCCTCCTGGTTTAGTTTGGTGGCGGTGGTGGTTATGTGCCGTGGTCTTGGTTCCGACTCATAGCGATCCTGCATAGGGTTTCCAAGGCTGTAAATCTTTACAGAAGCAGAAATCTTCATCTTTCTCCTGTGGAATAGCTGGTAGTTTCCAACTACTGACCTTGAGGTTAGCAGCCCAACTCATAACCACTATGCTACCAGTGCTCCTTTGGTTTGTTGTTGTTGTTAAGTGCTGTTGAGTCGATTCTGACCCATAGCGACCCTGTGTAGGGTTTCCAAGGAGCAGTTGGTGAGCTGAACCACTGACCTTGCAGTTCAAATGACTTTACAGTCTGAT